ACATTTACACGGGTTGGGTTGGTTTAATTTTAGATCAAACCGACCATGTTGGGTTGGGGCAAAACTCAACCCAACCCATGCCCACCTACGCCCATCCCTAATCATAAGTAATAACTAGATATGGTTATCGTTATTACAGATAAACTTTCATGTGTGACATTTTTTATTTGTGATGTAAGTAGCTGATTTTACAAGCTAAAATGTGGTGACACTTAAATGAACACGTGGATGTTTTGATATAGAATAAAAAATTAGAGACCTTCTGGGGAGATTTCGCATGGATAACTATCTACGTTCGGTAGTGGAATTTGTCCTTCAACTTGAGGTCATCATAGTGCCTTATATAAGGACAGTCATACTTTTATAATATTTGATGATGCTCTACCAATGGTCACTAATACGACATCGTTTGTGTATGTCGAGAATCATATGAAAGTTGTGAATAATCAATAGATGATTAGTCATTTTTAGATAGTAAAGATTATAATCTACATTTCATTCGGTGAAGTTGATAACTAAATTTTTTGCCAAGGTGTACTCATAAATCGAAAAAGAGTTTTCGACTTACATTGATTTCATAATGAGATGAAAGATGTGATCGATAATTAAGATTGACACATTCATATCTTGTAATTGTTCGGATCATATTGACAAAATGATTATAATATCACGATAAATGAACAAGTTTGATTTTGTCATTCCACGTGACATTTCACATCACGTGTATTACCCTGACATATTACTAGATGTCAATATGAGACGACGAATGTGAATTGATGATAAATTAAAAAGGGGTATTTTAATTTTGATTAGATCAAAGAATAATTCACGTCGTTGACATCGTAATCGAGAACCTAATGAGTCACATACAAAAGGATAACTAGAAAAATAAGATTCACCAAGTAATTAGTTAACAAGTGTTGGATAATTAATTAATATGTTGCTTATTAACTTATCAGAATTAATTAATTGAATTAATTAAATCATAGAATTAGATTAATTAAATATTAGATCGAGTTAAATTTAAGAGATGAGTCAAACCCACTTTAACTTATATTAATAAGCTATCACGATTTCAGAAATAATAGAACACAATTCATTATTTTGCCAGTACCAAAAAAAAAAAAAGAAACTTTAATTCTCTCATCCTTGTTCTTTGTGTGAATTTCTTTTAGAGGCAGGACAATTGGACAGCTGTGGATTGCAGATCGTGATTGTTCGTGGTCAAGAAACCCAAAGGAGTCTACAGAATTCAACAAAAATATAATTTGAATCACAGTTTCTATCTAAATACAAAGTAGATCTTTGGTGGGAATTGAAAGTCGTTTTATTTTTTGCTGTGTATGATTAAGTAAATTCCCAAAAATAGGAATAGATGTTTTAGAGAAGATCTTCATACAAGATCTTGTATCAAGTGGATGATGTGACAACTCATTGAATTGGCGACTCTACTCAATCAAACAAGTAAAGTCTAATCTTACATGTAGGACTAGAGCTGCCAAGCCATCACAACATTAAATGCAGCATGGCCTAAGAATGATTTATTGATGTCAATGACAAGAGGCCCCAACCACTATGATGAGACCACATGTCTCTTCATCCAACGACTCTTACTCATCTATTTTTACTATAAAAAAAGCTTACACTTGATGTCATTTCAAGATAATGCATGTTTATGCTCTCAACATATAACTTTGCACTCTCTTTACTCTCACTATTACTCTCGGGTCTGATCCCCTTTTTACTTAAAGTGGTTCACGTCTTTAGCACGTTCCACACCCAAATATACTCTTACATAGGCTAATTTGATCATCGGAGTGTCTGCGGCCACCTTTCCCACCACCGGAGATCGGAAGTACGCTCTAACAGTTTGTCCAAATATGCAAGAAGGAGCTACATGGACGTGAGAGGAGCTGTCATCCATTGGCAACACCACTTCTACAAAAAGTGAGGTCAACATTACTAATTATTAAGTAGATGATCAGTGAAGGACTAAGTCTATGAGAAAAAAATATTTGGCCTAAATTTTATGTTTGTGGAGCTTATCTAAATCATGAAGAGGTCTACAAATAAATTTGTGAGCTTTTCTCTGATAAGTTAAGCTTTTAGATAAGATAGTTCATCAAAGATGATATAACAGATTTTGAATTATATGTTACTCTGGGAGGAAGCTTCATGTAGACTTCTCTAGAATATCCACATAAAAAATGAACTTTTAACGGCCATTATGGAAAGG